ACTTACGCTACGCTTGGTCTCTTCTGTGTCTCTGATCTGACGTTGGCAGCTAGCACATAGTCTCTAGTGCATGTTAGACGTTGATGGCTTTTCATGTTCTTTCAAACATGGCTTTGGGTTGATATACGATGATCTGGATTTCTGTGACTTGGAAACATAAGGTGGTAGTGACTCTCACTTTACGGAAGCACATGTTGGGCACACAGTTGAACCAGAGGTGACGCAAGAGGTCGCGCGCAAAAAATGGTCCCAAACCCTGAGTTTTCGCAAATCGATGTCAAAAATGGTCACCATTCTTGACAGTGATTTTCAGATAATTCTTGATCAGACCACAAAAAAATCGTGATTTCGCCGAAAACCCTTTTTTGCATGCAACCCAATATCCTGGATTGCCGACTACGTGCGCAGAAAGAGAGCCGCCGGGATGTTTATGCATGTTTATTGCGAACTCGAGGGTCCTGGTCGATGACACATGCTTGACAGGTTTGGAGTGTATGTAAGCTAGGGTTCCTACCAATGTGCATCCTCAGAAGGTAGTTAGAACCCCAAACCCACCTCAACCTCCTTTGGAGGAGGTAGTTGGAGCATGTTGGAGCACTAGGAATAGAACTCTTTCGTAGAACATCTTCATACCAAGCGATGGAGCAGAACAACAAATACCCTTCTTTGGCATACTCTTAGACCCTTAGCACATCTTAGCACCTTTAGTTCATAAGGGATGTACTACATTTTGCTGCACTATTCATTTCCTGGTTCAGCCCTTGGGAATGGAATTCAATGGGATATACCAAAGACCTGCATCTACTAGGACCCTGGTTGAAGATCTAAGGACCAGCTCCACCCCCCCCCCCCACGACCTCCAGTCCCACGACCTCCGTCCTGTTCGACGGTCGACGATGGTCGTGAGGCTACGATGTGGTGACCATTCAGGAGCAGCGTGTCGAGCAACTGGTGCGACTGAGGAAGGAAAATGGTGAGAATAAAGCGGTTTACTTTCAAGGTGATTGTGATTTTCCAGATTCTCCGCCAAATGCGGTGATTTTCCTCGAGCCGGGTGCAATCATTCTTATTTCTTCAAGAATTTCGTAAGGAATGCGGGAGGGTATCCAATGGAGTCTCTTTATTGAGGGTGAGCTCCTTCCCCCATTCCCTGCGACCAGTCAGTCGTTGGGACCTGCACGCGGAAAGGATTGGTGGGTTCAGTGAAAACTTTCTTCGGTGGCCCGTGGCTTTCGATTCGGAAGCTTTTTTGGATCGGCTTGGTATAGTTGTGTACCTAGAGTGTTGCTATTAACGCCCAGGAGAGCACCCAGAAAGCACCCAGGATCATTTGCAGAACTTTTGTATCTCTTACATCACATGTAATCATGTAATCTTGAGGATATCCAGAAACTGATTCATGATTACATGATTACAGATTGAATTGATTACATGATCCACTGCTCGTGTAATCAAGAAACTCTTTGTGTTGGGTGTTGGAGATCCAGGAACTGGTGCACACAGGGGCACACAGGGCCCAGAACCAACGGTCAAGCATTCCCTACAATGCTAAAGGTCAATGAATTTGGGATGATTGCCCACCAACTCACGATGGGTTGAAGTGGTGGCCCATTAGAAGGAACAGTCCGTGAAAGACTATCACTATGTTTGAGAACGACATGTATTTAGCATCATTTTCCACGTGAGACACCCAACTTATACCTGAGTCTGCTACGCAAGAATGTCTGCCTTTTCATCTGCGAAACAAGTCCAATCTAACAGACATGTTGCATAGTTGGAAGACAGTTTGGAAGACCTATACATGGTTATAAGATCTGTATATATGTCTGAGACGCGCAGGAGATTTCTCAGCTGCCGGATGACACGGGCGTTTGCGGAGACCACACAGAGTCCGCGATTTGTGACTTGCAGGCGCGTTTGGAGTGGTTTCCTTTTTTTGTTCAAACACGCTATTCTTTGATGAACACAATTGAACACCTGTATTCAAAGACAATCGGAAGGGTCGTGCACAGAAAGGGTTTTGCAAAAACACGTTCTACTAACTTCGTAAAAGCTGGTCGTGAATCAACTGAAATGGTGATTGGAATCCTTGAGCTCCACCCTTGGTCTTCTTCTAGTCTGTAGTCCATGAACACTGCCTCGGACCATAATGACCTCCTCCATTTGGTCTCTGCAATCGTTCTCGACAATGTCAGCAGCTCTCAGCATCCGTGAAAGCTTTTGAAACCATGTACACACAAATCTCTCTCTCTCTCTCTGTTTCTCTCTCCGTCTATCGATCTATCGATCCATCGATCCAAACATCCACCTCTCCCTCTTGCCTGTGTGAGAGCGTGCGCAGGATCGAGTTGATTCAAGAACATGTTGTCTACTTAATTCCTGCCTGTCTACGTTCGTGCTATTTATTCTGTGCGGCTGTGTGCGGGCTCAAGTAAAGAAATGGAATTTTTAGGCAGACTTTTTGGTGGTCTCGAAATAGATAGAAAAGTGCATCCCTATAGATCTGATTTACATCCCTATAGATCTAACGCTGATCCGCCCCCTTTGCTGACCCGCTGTTCCGCTGGTCCGCTGATCTGCTGATCCGCTGGTCCGCTGGTCCGCTGGTCCGGTGATCCGCTGATCCGCTGGTCCGCTGATCCGCTGAGCCGCTGATCCGCTGGACTGCTGATCCGCTGGGGCCCTTCGGGGAACCACCAAGTGTTCTTCTACCACAACAACAACAACAACTACTACTACTACTACTACTACTAACTACTAACTACTAACTACTAACTACTAACTACTAACTAC